CCACCTGCGGCCCGGGGCGCGCTACACCGTGCGCGTGGCGGCGCTCAACGGCGTGTCGGGCCCGGCTGCCGCCGCGGGAGCCACCTACGCGCAGGTCACCGTGTCCACCGGGCCCGGGGGTAAGGCCGCCCGCGCCCCTCTCCGCTTAGAGCGGGCTCCCCGCGTCTCCCCCGGAGGCGAGGCCCCCACCGACGTCCCTGACGGCGGGGACCCCCCCGCAGACGGCCAGCCCTGCCCGAGGGCCCCGGGGGAGGGACCGAGGACGCGGGTGACGCGGTGCCGCCGGGCCAGAGCGGTTGCGGGCGTTTCCGGGAGTCCGCGGGAGGCAGTGGGCGCCCGTGCTCCCGACCCCGCAGAGAGCCTGGCACCGCACCCAGCTCGCGGCTGCCCTGCCTCTCATCTCCCGCGGGAAAGAGCGGAGAGCCCCGCCACCTTTTGCTGTCCCTTTTTAAAAATTTCAGCAGGAAGGGCAGAGTCGTCTCTCCTCCTTTACTGTCTCAGAAAGAGGGGTTCTGTCGTGTTGTTCCCGCCCCCAGCCCCCAGCCTCCATCCCTGCAGCATCGGTCACCCTGTTTCCTGGTCCCGGAGAAGAGCAAGGAAGCACTTAGGGTCAGACCGTAGGGACGGTAGAAGTCACTAGTCAACACGGAGCGGTCACATTTCTGAGTCTGGACTAGAGAGGAGTAAATGATGACCTACACTCCTTTTAGGCTACACCATCCCCACTCTCGAAAATTACTTTTGCTTGTCTTTCACCCAGCTGGGGTGCACCTTCGCGCAATCCTTCAAGTACCCTTTGCAAGAAAGTGCGTGTGGTTTCTGAGCCTTTTCATACCTGAGATGTGATTGGTTTGTGACTCGACTTCCCCGTCTTGCAGTTGTATTGCAGAGAAGTCTGAGGCCAGGGTGATTTTTATTCTTGTGTAAGTACCTTGTGTGTGTGTGTGTGTGTGTGTGTGTGTGTGTGTGTGTGTGTGTGTGATTCTTTCACCTACTAGTGAAAATAAAACTTGACCAATATTGAACTCTTTTCATTGAGTTTGGCTGGTACATAGTAAAACTTGTGATCTGCACACATTTTTTTGGTATTCCTGGAGAAAACTTTTTTTCAGTTATTGCTTTGACTAGAATTTCTGATAGCTTCCAATATCTCTCTTAAGAATCTCTCTAAGCCTTAGGTTGTACATCCATTTTCTGATTCTCAAATCTTGTCACTCGCTTTATCATTTTTAGCTCTTAATCCATTTTCTCTGCCTTTTGGGAGAGATTTCCAATTTGTCTGGTTTTTTGGAATAACAGTTTTGCTCTGTTTTTTACTATCTCGATTATGACTTAACATTTGCTATTGCATTTACATGTAAAAAATCAATATTGAGAAAGAAAAAAGCACCCATAATCCTATTACCCAGAGATATACAACTATTAATATCTTGGAGTGTATCCTTCCACATTTTTTTCTTATCTCTCTATCCATATCTAGAACTATCTACTATAAAATCCCTTTTGTATAATATATGTGATATGAGATTTTTATCTGGTATTTCATATTAACATCCTATTTTGATATAGATGGATTTAAAAATCGTGTTGAGATACTGTTTCCTTTTATTAATAAAAATACTAAGCTTCTGCTGATTGAATGCTGCTCTGTGTTCCATGCTGGAACTTGCAATACGATTTTCTACATTCATTCGTTTAAATGGAATGGTAATCATCTTTCAGTTTTTAAAATATTTAAGTAATCTCTACACCCAATGTGGGGCTCGAACTCACAACCCCAAGATCAAGAGTCACTGGCTCTTCCGACTGAATCAGCCAGGCACCCCTAATCATCTTTCAAATGAGGAAGCTGGGGCCTAAGAGGACAAGTGAATTGTCCAGAGTCACCCAGCTAGTAAGTAGACACCCATCTTTGAACTCAGGTCTGTCAACCACCAGAGCTCCCCATGCTTTTAGCCCCTTGGCCATAAAATGTTTTCACTTAAAAAAAAATTTTTTTTTTAATGTTTATCTATTTTTGAGAGGCCAAAACCGAGTGTGAGTGGGGGAGGGGCAGAGAGAGAGGGAGACACAGAATCTGAAGCAGGCGCCAGGCTCCGAGCTGTCAGCGCAGAGCCTGATGTGGGGTCTGAACTCAGGAACCACAAAATCATGACCTGAGCCGAAGTTGGACGCTTAACCCACTGAGCCACCTAGGTGCCCCAGAATGCTTTCGTTTTTTATTGAACTTAAAAAAAAAAAATCAGGAATGTTAATTTTATAAAATGCTTCTTCAGCATCTTTCAAGATGACCAAATGTTTTTTCTCCTTTGAGCTGTTGGCATGATGAATTCTATTCATGGATTTTTCAGTGTGAGCTCTTTTTGCACTCCTCGATTATACCCTACTGTATGTGAGTGTATTATTCTTCTAATATTTTGCTGAATTAATTTGCTTATATTTTAATACTTTCCCGTGTACATTTATAAGAGAGATTAGTGCTTTTTTTATTGTGTTCTTTGTCAAGTTTTAGCATTTGTCGACTTTTGCCGGCTTTGGAAAAGGCATCAGAAAAAAACTCTTCTTTTTCTCTGCTCTGGAACAATTTAAATAGCATAATTATCATTCTTTGAAGGCATGCAAAACTGCTTTTGGGGGCCTGCACTTTCTTTGGGGGAAATTTTAATGATATTCCCAATCTTTTCCACACTTCTTGAATGAGTTTTGTTAATTTGTGCTTTCGTAGCAAATATTTTGATATTTTTCTAATTCAGTAGCCTAGAGACATACGTTTTAAAACTTTCCTCAGTATCTGTGTAACTGTGCTTTTATTTCTTCATGTTATGTGCTTCTGGTTTCTTTTTGATTAATTATCCTTGCTGGAAGTTTATTTTACTGGTTATGACAATCAGTTCTTGAATTAATCAATTCCAGTGTTCTGTACTTTTGTCACTTATTTTATGATTTTATCTTTATTAATACCACCCTCTTGCTTTCCTGAAGCCTTTTTTTAGATGAGTTCAGAGCTTAGTTTTAATATTTTAAGCCTATGAATTTTCCTCTGAGTATAACTTTGGTCACATCCAGTATGTTTTTGTACATCATACATCTCATTAGTATTGTCACTTTTTTTGGAGATACTTACATGCCCTAAAATTTCACATACCTTTTGAAGTATACAATTCGGTGCTTTTTCATATATTCACATGGTTGTGCAGCCCACATTTTCATCACCCCCAAAAGAAACCCATTAATAGTTACTCTCTCCATTCCTCCTGCCCTGTCTAGCACCCTCTAACCACTAATCTATTTTCTGTCTCTAGAGATTTGATTATTCTGGGCATTTCAGATACATTATACAACATGTGAATTTTTGTGTCTGCCCTTTTTGTCTGTTTAGCATAATGTTTTCAAGGTTTGTCCATGTATCAGTGTATTATTCCTTTATATGGCTGAGTAATATTCCATTGTATACCACAATTTTGTTTATCCATGCATCAGTTTATGGACTTGGGGCTGTGTCTGCTTTTTGGCTATCATGACTAATGCTGCTATGCATATCCATGTACATGTTTTTGTAGAAACAGGTTTTCACTGTTTTTGAGTGTATGTGTAGGAGTGAAATCGCTAGGTCATATGATGTTATAGACTGAATTGCGTCTTCCCCAAATTCATAATGCTGAAGCCCCAACTCCCAATGTGACTGTGTTTGGAGATAGGGCCTTTAAAGAAGTAAGTAAGTTTAACGAGATGTTAAGGACGGGGCCCTGGTCCCATAGGACTGGTGTTCTTACAGAAGAGGAAGACACCAGAGCTGCTCTGTGCACACAAAAGAAAGTCCAGGAGAGGACATAGCAAGAAACGGTGTCTGTAGGTCAGGAGGAGAAACCCTACCAGAATACTATGGACACAAACCTACTGTAAGCATCTTGGGGCGCCTGGGTGGCTCAGTCAGTTAAGCGTCCGACTTCGGCTCAAGTTATGATCTCACAGTTTGTGGGTTTGAGCCCAGCATCGGGCTCTGTGCTGACAGCTCAGAGCCTGAAGCCTGCTTCAGATTATGAGTCTCCCTCTCTCTGCCCCTTCCCTGCTCACACTCTGTCTCTCTCTCTCTCAAAAGTAAATAAACATTAAAATTTAAAAAAAAAAATGTTAAAAACAAATCTGTAAGCATCTTGATCTGGGATTTCCAGCCTCTAGAACTGAGACGTACGGTTGGCTTTTTATCTTCTTCTGGAACTAATTAACTTTTTGTGGATCTGCCAAACTGTTTTCCAAAGCAGCAGCACCATTTTACCTTCCCGCCAGCGGTGTGCAAGGGTTCCAGTCTCTCCACATCCTCACCAACACTTGTTACTGGTTTTGTTGATTA